GGGCATACAATCACACCAGAGCACAGGCTTAGGTAGAAAACATTCAAGCTGCCCTGAAGTGTCTCCTGAAATCTCAGCATTCTCAAAGACCTTAAAGGATGAATTTGTCCTTGAGAGCTCTTCTGCATGTCATCTAGGGCCTTCCTATTCCATGAGGCTGCTCCAAGAATGGAGGTTTGTCTGTTTGCAGGGAAGGAGTGAAATCTTTGAGGGACTGATAACAGGAGGTGGTCTAATGGCAGTGCCAGCAGCACTGAAATCTCAGTTCCATTTCTGCTGGGGGTGTCTGCTGGTGGCTGGGGAGAAGAGCAGATGAGAGCACAGTGTTAGTCACAGGCTTCTTTAGTTTAGGATTAGGATTCTAGTTCCTTTGCTGCTGTCTGACACTCATTACCCTGTGTTATGCCTTTTAAAATTTGTCAGGGTAGATTTAATGTTTAGATTGACAGTTACAAAGTTTGAATAAGATATGATTGTTTAAACACTTGTGACATATTGCCCTATAAAGCTGAATATGCTGGCCCACACACACTTTTGATTCCACCACCCAGGAGGTAGACAGGCATATCTCTGTGAGTTTGAGGCTAGCCTCCTTTTCATAGCAAGTTTCAGGTCAGGGAGGCCTACATTGTGAGAGTCTATCATAAGAAACAAAGCAAAGGGTTCTGTGATTGTTTATAATAAAACATGTACTCCCTTGTCAAAAAAGTCAGTTTGCTGGAAAATGACTTTCTATAAAAACTTTTCCTACATTTCCTACATTTCTGCAGTACCAGATACTTGAGCTCCTTTTGTGTTAGTAGTAATATGAGTGCATTTATGCATCTAAGACGATTAGCTGTTAGTTGTTTATGACTTAGTTGTAGATGTATCATCAATATACTAATTGAAAGAATGTAAGACAGGTTTAGACTTAGAAGACACTGTGTAACCAGTTGGCAAATAAAATAGAATGTGATGCTGACGGTGCTTCTCCTTCTATGTAAACAGCCTTAAATTGAGAGACTGTCAAGAGTAGACTTGTAGAATCAAGATCTTAAGTACATGGGGTTGCGAGTAAACTAGAATCTATACTAGATTTTTTTGTATTGGGGTGGTATGATCAATTTGAAAAGAGAAGTTAAAGTGAGATATAGATCCCCTACTACACACACAGAGAGTTTCTCTAGGTAGCCCTGGTTGTCCTGGAACTCAATCTGTAGACAAGGCTGGCCTAGAACTCACAGTGATAGCCCTTCCTCTGCTTCCTGAGTGCTGGGATTAAAGACATTGACCATACCGTCCAGTGAGAACTGGATTCTTAAATATTACAGTTGTAACCACAGAAGACATACATGTAAAGACAATGAGTAAAATATATAATGTGAACTAAATTTCAAAGGTGGTGTTGGGCAGGGAGGGAGGACGAACAAGAGACCATAGGAAGGTCACTGACATTGTCTTGTGTCAAAATGCAGAGAGGGGCACTCAGTTCTAAAATGTCTTTATCAGACCCCTTTCTTCAAGGCGCAGGGATGTGTGGAATGAAGGTGGTAAGAGCCAGAGCTGGTGGATGAATCTTTTGAGACACAGCAGGACTGATGCACGCTGAACACAGACTGTGGTGGCATTTGTACGACTTGGAGAGGGTTAAAACAGACAAAATCTTAGCACTGAGGGGAAGTGGGCACAAAGTCCCTCTCCTAACCGAAAAGCTATTTGCAGTTGACAGTTTTGGGGAAAGGGAAAATTATCCTCAGATACTTCAGCCACACTCCAGGCAGGTCCCAGGCCCAGGAGTAGCTGGCCAAACAAGATAAATTCCATGAATTTTTTTTGGTGTGGATTTTTTGTTTTGATATTTTTGTCTTATTGATTTTTTTGGTTTGGTTTTTGGTTTTTCTATGTTGTTTTGGAGAGAGAGAGAACAAGAAGTTAGGTGGGGAGGAGTTGGGGGAAAGGAAACATCAAAGTGTAGTATATGAAAAAATTTTGGGTTTTTTAAAATTGAAAATAGACTTTTTCTACAGTATATTTTCATTATGGTTTCCCATCTCTCTACTCCTCCCTGTTCCTTCTCTCCTCCCATCCAGATCCATATCCTTCTGTCTCTCAGAAACCAAGACAGAAAACATCTAAAAAATAAGGAAGAAAGAAAAGAAAGTATAGTACGATAAATAAAAAACAAATATGACAAAACAACCTAAGAAAAAGAGCCCAAGAAAAAGCACAAGAAATGCGTAGATGCAAAGACACACATGTTGGCACACACAAGAATCTCACAAAAGACCCAATCCAGAAGCTATAATAATATATGCAGAGGATCTGTAAGTTAAAAAAAAAAAAAAAAAAAGCCCTGACTTAAAACCTCCAGAGATGCTGCTGAGTTACCACTTCTCCTTTCAGCTCTAGGACCCCATCTGGTGCAGACCCATGCAGGCCCTGTGCATGTGGCTTTAGTATCTGTGAGTTCATATGTGTGCCAGCTCTGTTGTGTCTAAAAGGTCTTGATTTCTTCATGTCCTCTATTATTCTCTCTGCCTCCTTTTCCTCCTCTTCTTCCTCCTCCTCCTCAGTTCCCTGAGTTCTGAGGCCAGGGCCTTGATAGAGGTATCCTAATCCTGTTTAGGACCGAGTGTTTCAAGGTCACTCGGTGCCTAATGTCTGGCTGTGGTGCTCTGTTACCATCTACTGCAGGAGGAAGCTTCTCTGATGAGGGCTGAGCAAGGCATAGATTTAGGAGTTGGGGAAGGGGAAAACTATCAAAATATATGAAAAAAAAACTTAAGTAAAAATAATGTCTTGTGTTTTGTGAGTAAAGACAAAAGGAGACTAAATGTTTAGAGTACCAGGTAGAATAAGCACCAAGAAGTATACTGGTAGTAAAAGTCTTGGCAAGAGACAGTGGCACGTAAGATATTAGAATGACAGGCCCTGAAGAGGCCATTCAGTTTCTGTGTCTGCTTGGCTCTCTGCTTGCTTTCTGTAGCTCTTTAAGACTGCAGCTATAACTCTGGCAGATAACATGGCTGCTGTGTGGTTCCTTGGAAGCAATAACAGGCCTTTTGAAAAAAATTTTCTTACTGGTTAAAAAAGATCCTTTGTGTTCTATATTACAACTACCACAACTACCCTAGTCTATTATTCATGATTCCTGTCTATTGTCATTTCCTTCCTTTCATCAGTGAACAAATATTTATTGTGTGAATGAATGTTCCTGGAAAGAACAGTACCTTCCACCAAACCTGCGAGTCTGATCAACTAATTAGAACCTCAGTGGTTGTGGAGAGGTTGGAATGCTGCAGGTGCAGAGCCTAAGAACAGTTTATCGTGGGCTCTTTTTTAGCTTCCTAAATAGCCGTTCCTTGTCCCTCTCAGTGTCTGATGTAACATTGTGTCTGTCAAGTGAAATGTGCTGGAAAGTGTTAACTTGACTGACCACTGATTTTCAGAATCTAGAAGGCTATGAAAGTCATCAGCTAGCATCTGAGGCCAGTAGCAGAGGTTTCTCCACTCTGATGTTCCACCAGCATGTTTGAAAACAGCATTTGACCTGAGATTTTCTTTCTTCTCTTACTATGAGAACTGAAAATGTCACCATGTTGTGACATGGAATTTGGAATAACTTGAATCTGTGTCCCCCGGTCATGGCACTCATATTTGGCTCCAGAGTAAGCTCTTATCTATTTGGAATTGAGAGCTGTGTTTTGATAGTTAAGTATTCATTCTATGCTAGGAACTTCATTCACCTCCAGGAGTATAATGAAAAAAAAAAAGTCTCTGCATTCACTTTCACCAAATTTAATTGTATTCCACTTGGGACAGAGGGTAGAATAGAAACACATGCTTATCTGCTGTGGGAGAATTCGGCTAAGGAGGTAGCCTGGGACAGCGCATGCAAGGCGAGAGAACTTTAGCTCACTGACAGGTTACAGTCAGCTGTAGTGAGGAAATCATGTTGAAGGTGTATCTTCCTGCCTCAGTTTCTTCCACCTCAGTCAGTTCTGAGAAGATACCTCACAGGCATGTCCACAGGCCAGCCTAAGCTAGACTGTTGCTCACTGCCACTTTCCCAGCTGATTCCGGCTTGTCACGTTCACAATAAAGCCGACCACCCCACCTGGCTGTCGACATGAACTCTCACTCTGCATGATAGGAGCACTTGGGCTTACAGCAGGAAGGGCATAAGCTCCGTTAATTCTATAGAAACCTTAAAGCCAGTCTAGCGCATGGAGTGGAAGGTAAAAGTGGCTACCGTGTAGAGGTCAGAGCTTTGAAAACCTTTCCAGGGCTGCTTAGCGGGGACACCAGGCCTCTACTAGGAAACACTTTTAATCACTGTGAAAGTTACAGCAAATAGCTGCTTATTGAACTTATTTAATTTGTTTGTTTAATGCTAATTCAAAAGAAGTATGCATTAATATGTATTATTTACTACTATGTTATTTATTAGCACTTCCATTAATAAAAATGTATTCTGTGTTTGGGGAGGAAGGTTACCTATTCTAAAGGGAACTATTTTAAAGCTGTTTTTGGAAAACTAGTTCTTTGATGAAAAGCTGAGAATGAGGTAAGAGATATAGAAATTACTCAAAGAGGGATTGGCTGATTTATGGTGGGTTATTTGTGTAAGTCAAGGCCAAGGGAACCAGGGTAACAGAAGGACAATCTCTTAGATGAATAGTAGACTGTGGGGACAGGAAAATCTGGGGGTAGGGATTGAAACAGATTTTAGGTAAGTACAAGGCAAATGCTGGTAGAGAGTGGTTGTAGATTTAGAAGACCTCCCAAAAGAGGTAGAGAGAGGATGCTATTTCAGTGAGAGACATTGAGTTAAGGTTTCTCATAAGTCCATTGTTTTTATTACCAGTTTATTTCATACTGTAATTTTATTTCATTAATGTTTTAATTTTTCATGCAACACAGAATAACTAGTCTGCCACATCAGGCATTCAGTGACATGTAGATCAGTATGGGTATTAAAAATAAAGCTTTTAAACAGAAAACTCTTTCTTTTTCAGGGATATTATGATAACACATTTTGAGCCTTCCATCTCCTTTGAGGGACTTTGCAATGAGGTTCGAGATATGTGTTCTTTTGACAATGAACAGCCTTTCACCATGAAGTGGATAGATGAGGAAGGTGAGTGACGGGCACTGTGTGGGTGTTTTGTGAGAATTCGCTTTACGATAAAATAAGGGTCTTAAGAAATTCAAGAGGAAAAGATAAAGTAGAAATTTAATTGGTTTGTTAGTATGTAGATTGAGATAAAATATTTAAATCAAAGCATACAATCTTTGTTTTTACCTCTTTACTTTAAAATGAAGCAAAATTAATGACTTCCCCCTGCAATTTTGAATAATAAATGTCTTATATCTTAATATAAGGGTTTATCTGTTCTTAAGTGAATATACCTTAAAGAAAATGTTGTAGAATCAATCATAGTGACTGTGATCATTTTACTTCAGTGTGATGTAAGAAACCTAATCACTTAGTGGCTTGTATTCACAAAGCGTTTGTGAACTGTCCTCAAACCCAGGAGGCTCATCACAACTGGGTATGGGTGATAGTCAGGGTGCTCTTAAGGACTGGACTGATAGAATGATAGAACAGTAGCTAAGACATTGAATTAGGGCTTCCCACAATCCACTGTTGTTTTTTTAAATATTTTATTTGTTTATTACTTATACAGTGTTCTGCCTGCATGTGTGCCTGCATGCTAGAAAAGGGCACCGTATCTCATTATAGACGGTTATGAGCCACCATGTGGTTGCTAGGGATTGAACTCAGGACTATAGCCAGTGTTAACCTCTGAGCCATTTCCCCAGCCCCACAATCCACTGTTTTTATTTTCAATTCATTTCATATTGTAATTTTATTAATACTTTAATTTTGGTGTATATACACGTATATAAATGGAGACTATTAGAGTGGCTTACGGGCAATGGTCTGATTTGTCCAGCAACTGTCTTCTGATAGAAAGGCCAAGGATCTGGTAGTTGTTCAGTCCATAAAACTGGGTATCTGAGCAGTCCTAATCTGATGCTGAGGTCCTGGGGAATTCTCAGCTGCTGGTCTTCATTCTAGTTGGAATCCTGAAGATTCTAGTACCAGTGAAAATATACAAATGGGGCAAAAAGAAATATAAAACTACAGTTTGGAGAGAAAAGGGGGGAGGAAATTGGAGTCAAGGCTTGTGCTAAAAGGGGGACCCTCATCTGCCCTGAGACAAGGGGGTCAGGTTAAGACCTCACCCCCCGACCCAGTTAGGCTTCCAACAGAAAAGAAAGGCGCGAGGAATTTTCTGTTTTTACAATGCTACAAGAAAGCAAAGTTTGATTTCACAAATCACAGTTTGAATCACAAATGTGATTCAAGGAAAGGACCAGGCTCCCAAGTGGGCAGCTGAACATGGCACTGTTACTCTCGTGGTTGTAGCTTTAGAGTCATGAAAAATGCATGAGTAAAGGGGTTGTGGGATCTTCTCACGGTTAAGGAGAACCACTGAGGTCACTGTGGCAGGGGGAGTCCCTGCAGGGAAGCCACAGATGCCATTGTGTGAAGCCGTGAAAGTGCCTGGATTGTATTAGAGACCCCGTGATGGCCGAAGTGCCAGAGCAGTGGGAAACCTGCCAAGGAGGTTTGCACACGGAGTGGAACCGCCCCAGGAGTATCTTGCAGGCAACAAGACTGCAAGGGCAGAGCCATTCAGGCTTTTTGGCCTGCTGTTATTTTGCTCTTTTTTTGGTCTAGTATTTTCTGTGCCCTGACTATGCTTTTGTGCCTTTTGTATATTGGATATATGTAATTTGTTGTTTTACTTTCCAGAGGGTTACAGTTAAGAGATTGCCTTGAGTCTCAGAAGAGACTTTGGACTTTTTGCTTTTTTTGAGACAGGGTTTCTCTGTAGTTTTGGCTGTGCTGGATTTGATTTATAGACCAGGCTGGCCGTAAACTCACAGATCCACCTGCCCCTGCCTCCCGAGTGCTGGGATTAAAGGCAGCCCCACGCCGTGTGATACTTTGGACTTTTAAACACTGTTGAACATGAAAGACTTTGGGGCTTTTGGAGTTGGCCTAAGTGCACTTTGCATTATGATATGGCCATGAGCCAGTGGGGCCAGGGAGTGGAATGTGAATTTAAATATAAACTGTGACCTAAGTTTTGTTTCTGTATCTTGCCAGGTTATTTTACACATAGTTGGATCTTTCATATTTAACAACTTTTTTTGGAAGTCTAATGCTTATTTGTTTCACTTTATAGGTAAAAACAAACAAACAAAAATGTAGGTGTATTGAAAACAAGAACAAGCTTACTGGTTAATATCCAGATTTTATTAATTCTTTAATTGCCTCAAAATTAACTGCAGTGAGCAAATACTCAGAATATATTTGTGTTTTATTCTATACATTTAGAATTTGGTAATAGAATTAGCTTTGAAAATAGCTTTCCTGGACATCTTTGTTTCAAAATGACTTAAATAGAATGCTTTATGCATTAAACATATAAAAGTTCCATGTGACACTCAGGCACTAAGTCCAGGAAGAACAAAGCAGATTGAATATATGTGTTAAGTATGCATGATTAAGTTAATGTATGAAAAGCTCACTTTCTTGCTTCCTTGTGGTTATACAAAAGTGATAATATGTTCTCCCAAACCACCCATAGCGTAATCCATTATGGCATTAGGTTCATGTTCCAAAGATGGTCTTCTCATCTTGTGTCTTGTCCATCTGTGGCTTAGGTTCCTTGATTGACTCTTTGCTAGTTCTGAGGACCTGTGGAATGCTGACAGAGAAGTACAGTAGCTACTTGTAGCCACAAAGAAGGAAAGATGCTAACTCTTAATTATCATGGCATATACCTCCATTCTCTCAGGAAAGCTTACTGCTGCTCTCTGGGAATGGTTTTTCCATGACTCTTCACATTGCTTCTGAGTCATCCTTCTCTTTTCCTAGGTAATGGCATTTTGTAGTTCTTGCTTAGATGCTGTCCTGCAGAGTTGAAAGCCATGTGTCTTTCTTCATTTTGAACATTATAGACCTCCTTGTATCAAGTTATAGACCTCCTTGTATCAAGTTATAACTGTTCCATTGGATAAAAGCCACATCCACATAAATCTCTTCTAGACCATCTACATGCTTCTGAGGTTTGAGAGGCTCTTTTGCTTACCTAAGATCCTGGTGTTGGGCTGGGAGATGGCTCAGTAGGTAAGAGCAAATACTGCTGCAGAGGACCAAGTTCAGCACCCATGGTGGCAGTTCATAACTGCCTGTAACTCCAGCCTCTGCAGGCAACTGCACTGCAAATGCACATACCCAGTCCCCATACACATAATTTATTAAGAAGTCTTGATGTTTATTAGAAGTTCCATGTATTTGATCTTTGCCCTTAGTGTGTTTCCTGTTTTTATGACTTACAGGTAAAAAATGGAAGGGAGAGGCAGCTTTATTTTCAAACCAAGTAACGTTTGCCAGGAAAATGTTTTTTTTTCTTTTTATTTGCAGGCACAGTTTCTTTAGGTGTAATTTCTATATTGCCTTCAGTGACAGTGTTGCCATATTTAGTTCACTCATTTTGTCCATTTTCCAAATCAGTTTCTCTGTCCTCTGTCCTTCAGTTCATCCTCTGCCTATCATTAGGTAGAAAAGGCCGTGTAATGCCTTTTGCTTTTGTACATCTTAGTGATTTGAAAACTTATTTCTCACAGCTCTGTTGAGTTGTCAGGGCTGATGTTACAGATGTCCAAAGAAGATAAGAGGAAGTAAGGACTCTGAAGCTGAGCTGGAGAAAAGAATACAGACACTGTTTTCTTTGAGACAGTGTAGAAAGGAAATGACTTCATTTTTCTCTGTCAGGGCTCTCTACCAAGCGTAATTGAAGATTAGACAGAGTCAGTGGCATCTAGCATGTAGGAATGTCAACCATCACCACAGGAATGAGCACTAGAATAGCAGAGGTAGGATCCAGTTCAGGCCCCAGCTTTGCTCTAAGTGACTTGTTCATTGAGGAATGTCATTGTCCCAGGATATATGCAACCTCTTGACTTCCAGGGATGACTCAGTACTTTGGCTGGTTAGTTAAGAGAGTCATTTCCTCTTCTGTGTGTGTGTTACTAAAATTCAGTGCTTACATTTAAGAGTAGCTTGAGCTGGTGTCCAGCCCTAAGTAGGACATCTATAACATCTTTCCTACCAAAGGCAAGGGGACATGCCAGAGGATGATAGGGGTACAAAGAGCCTAAGAGATGCAGATGGAGAGTAGTGCTATGGAATACTGTCTTTGGATATGACATGGCCTTGGCCCCCACAAACTCACTGCAGCTATGATTATATATACATGATGGAGTCAGTGAGATCAGTCATCATTCCAACAGACAGTAATCAGACAACAACAAAAAAAGACATGAAAGGGGAGAAGGATTTGTTGGGGTGCTTGGGAAGGATTGGAGGCAAGAGTTAGAGGCACCTTGGGGGAAGGGAAGGTGGAGCTGGAGTGTGCATGATCAGGATGCATTACTTATGTGTATGTGATTGTCAAGGAATAAAAAAAAATGCTTTATTAAAAAAGAAGAAACAAAGAAAAGGTAGGGGCTGCAGAGATGGTTCAGCAGTCAAGAACACTTGCTGCCCTTCTTGCAAAAGACAAAAGACCCAGGTTCAAGTCCCAGCACCCACAAGGTGGCTCACAACTGTCTGGAACTCCAGTTCCAAGGGATCTAACAGCCACAGGCGCATGTGTAGTGCACAGACATATATGCAGAGAAAACACTTATCAAATAAATGAATCCAAAAATGTTTAAGTAGCTCAAGCTGGACTATTCTTAGTCCAGAGTACTTGAGTGGTTTCTTTCTTATGACTTCATTGACCGAGGTTATAATGTGAAAGAAGTTCTGTGAGGATGTCACAGCATGGACACCCTAACCATCTGTGCTGTGGCAGTGGGACTGCTTTCATTTTTTTTTTAAGTGTCCATCTTTATCTATCTATCTATCTATCTATCTATCTATCTATCTATCTATCTATCTATCTATCTATCTTTTGTTTATTTTTAAAATTTTATTTATTTTTTATTAGTTTATTTGCCTTGTATCCCAGCCGTCCCCTCCCTCAGCCCCTCTCTCAGCCCTTCCCAATCCCACCCTTCCTCATCTCCCATGCCCTTCCCTAAGTCTATTTATAGGGAAGGTCCTCTTCCCCTTCCCTCTGACCCTAGCCTATCAGGTCTCATCAGGACTGGTTGTATTGTCTTCCTCTGTGGCCTGGCAAGGCTGTTCCCTGCTCAGGGGAAGGTGATCAAGGAACCAACCACTGAGTTCATGTCAGAGACAGCCCCTGTTCCCCTTACTAGGGAACCCACTTAAATACTGAGTTGCCATGGGCTACATTTGTGCCAGGGTTCTAAGTTCTCTCCATGCATGGTCCTTGGTTGGAGTATCAGTCTCAGAAAAGACCTCTATACCCAGATTTTTTTGGTTCTGTTGCTCTCCTTGTGGAGCTCCTGTCCTCTCCAGGTCTTTCTATCTCCCCCTTCTTTCATAACATTCCCTGCACTCTGCCCAAAGTTTGACTATGAGTCTCAGCATATGTTTTGATACCCTGCTGGGTAGAGTCTTTCAGATGCCCTTTTTGGTAGGCTTCTGTCCTGTTTCTTCTTTTTCCCCTCTTCCTATGTCCGTCCGTCCTGTTTGCCTTTCCAAGTAAGGATTGATCATCTTACCCAGGGTCCTCCTTCTTGTTTAGCTTCTTTATGTGTATAGATTTTAATATGTTTATCCTATATTATATGTCTAATATCCACTTATAAGTGAGTATATACCATATATGTCTTTCTGCTTCTGGGATACCTCATTCAGGATGATCTTTTCTAGTTCCTACGATTTGCCTACAGATTTCATGATTTCCTTGTTTTTAATAGCCGAGTAGTATTCCATTATGTAAATGTACCACAATTTTTGTATCCATTCCTCAGCTGAGAGACATCTGGGTTGTTTCCAGATTCTGGATATTACAAATAAAGCTGCTACAAATAAAGCTGCTATGAACATGGTTGAGCAAATGTCCTTGTTGTATACTTGAGTGAATTTTGGATATATGCCTAGGAGTGGTATAGCTGGATCTTGAGGAAGCACTGTTCCTAACTGTCTGAGAAAGCACCAGATTGATTTCCAAAGTGGTTGTACAAGTTTACATTCCCACCAGCAATGGAGGAGGGTTTCCCTTTCTCCACATCTTCTCCAGCATGTGTTGTCACTTGTGTTTTAGTTCTTAGCCATTCTGATGGGTCTAAGGTGAAATCTCAGGGTCATTTTGATTTGCATTTCCCTGATGACTAAGGACGTTGAGCATTTCTTTAAGTGTTTCTCTGCCATTCAATGTTCCTCTATTGAGAATTCTCTGTTTAGCTCTGTACCCCATTTTTTAAATTGGATTATTTCATTTATTGCTTTTTAGCTTCTTGGGTTTTTTATGTATTCTGGAAAAAAGACAGCATGTTCAACAAATGGTGCTGGTCTAACTGGATGTCTACATGCAGAAAAATGCAAATAGATCCATATTTATCACCCTGCACAAAACTAAAGTCCAAGTGGATCAAAGACCTTAACATAAAACCAGACACACTAAATATATTAGAAGAAAAATTGGGGAAGAGCCCTGAACTTATTGACACAAGAGACAACTTCCTGAGAACACCAACAGCACAGGCTCTAAGATCAACAATCAATAAATGGGACCTCATAAAACTGAAGAGCTTATATACAGCAGTGGACACTGTCATCAGAACAAAACGACAGCCTACAGACTGGGAAAGGATCTTCACCAACCCTATATCTGACAGAGGGCTAATATCCAGAATATATAAAGAACTCAAGAAAAAGCAACAAATCTAGTAATCTAATTTAAAAATGGGATACAGTGTTTGCAGTCTTTTTAAAGAAATTACTAGCCAGGTCTGATGGTATAGGCCTATAATCCCGGAACTTGGGGAACTGAGGCAGGAGAATTGTGTGTTTGAGGCCAGCTCAGGCTACAGAATGAGTTCAAGGGCAGTGTTAATAACTTACTGAGACCCTATTCCCAAACAGAACGAAACAGTGGTGGGGCTGGCTCTGTACCCCGGTGCTTGCCAGGCCTTGTCCTGGGCTCCATCCACAATACAGAAGACAAGAAGGGGTGTGTGTGTGAAAACTTCTCTCATCCATACCCATCTGAGTAGATCATGCCTCTCTGAAAGTGGTCAGAATAGATTTATGTGTGTGTGTGTCTGTGTCTGTGTGTGTGCACGCGCGCACACACGCACACACACATTATTAGGAACAGAGTGGGTTCATAAAAATTTAGGGTCTATGCCCTGTGCATCATTTTGTGCAACTAGAAATGGATGTGAAATTGTCTATTACAGAGAGAGGGGTGTCTAGGGCAGTGTCTAAACCTTTGTCCTTGTAAACACCCCCTCAGTTACTATTTATGTAAGTTTTTTACTGTCATTGCACTCAGAGGTTTTGAAGACTGAGCTTTACTTTTTGTGTTTTTAGGAGATCCGTGTACAGTGTCTTCTCAGTTGGAGTTAGAAGAAGCGTTCAGGCTTTATGAGCTGAACAAGGATTCTGAACTCTTGATCCATGGTAAAAGAACCATCACTTAACCCTCCCAGAGCTGTAGTTTAAACATAACTCATTGTTTGTTGTTGACTATTTAAAGGCAATCTAGATGTCATTTATTATGTGTGTCCTCATCCCTATATAACTGTCCTTCAGACCCCTTTTCCTGTGTTAGGACAGCTGAAGTGATTCTGCTTTTTATAGTCTAGGAGAAATGCACGTATCTCTTAGGATATGAAGATGTGATCTCCCTTGTTTCATGGCTTAGCATTCCCGCACAGCTTTAGAAGTTTATTTGTATGTGTTTGGGGGGAGGGGGAGTGAGCAGGGACTACCCTTTTCTACCATAAAATTTAAAATGTTTAGAGGAATGATCAGTTATCTAGCAGGTAGCACCTGCCTGTTAGCCTACAGTTTGGGAGGCAGAGGCAGGAGGATCCAAGATGTTCCAAGGCATCCTAAGCTACAAGACAAATCCACATCTGAAAAATGAGCTGAGATTTAACTCAGGTGTAGAGTACTTGCCTAGTACAGTGCTGGGGTTGATGGACTGTTTCCATTCATACTCAGATGTGGCCCGTAATTCACTACACAGTACAGTTGATTAACACAATGCTCCTCATCATAAGATGGCTTATTTGCTGTGTGTATAAGTTTATAACCCAGAATATAAGCTTATATTTTGGAAGTTCTCGTATTGTTTTGGTATTAATTTGTTCCCTAATTGAATGCATATCTTTTGAAAACACTGATTTTTGTCACTTAATTCTTTGTTGTAACAAAGTTCTCTACAACAAAGACTTTTAAAACTAGTATTTCCTTTAAGGACCAGAAGAAAAAAAAATGTGATTATTGACAAGAGACTAGAATTAATAATTCAAGCTTCTAATATATTACTTCTAATATGTTACATATTTATTTTCACAGAAACTTATTTTATATAGGCTTGGTAAAAGTGCGAGCCTTTAGTAGTCTAATATTGGCCAGATGCTAAAATTCTGCCTCAGGTATCTCAAGGTACTTTGAAATTCGGGTCAATTTTAATTCTGTATGTTTGTATTTTGTAAGTATGCTGTTAATTGATTTTAGTTTATCTTTTTTCAGTATTTCCTTGTGTTCCAGAACGCCCTGGAATGCCTTGTCCAGGAGAAGACAGTGAGTATGTTTAGTGCTGTGCACACTTGAAAAGAGTTATTTCAAGTGAAAGAACTACAACTTTTTGGTCTTTTGTTTGTTTGTTTTTTTGAGACAAGACTTCTGGCTGCCTTGAAACTTGCTTTATAGAACAGGCTGACCTTCAACTCAGAGGTCTGCCTGCCTCTGCCTACTAAGTCCTGGAAGCTTAAGCCACCATTCCTGGCTTAAGAAATAGAACTTCTAGTTTGTTTGATTTATTCTCTGTTTCTTCACTCTAGTTTACAATATATTAGCAACTGCCTAAACTCTCCTTTTGCCAAATGAAATTCATTTAGCTATATCTTGTATATTTGTCTGTTGTGTGTATAAAAGACAATTAAATTAAGTCATGTGGCTTCATGCTTTCAAATTTGGATATTTTCAAATCTGTGGAAAATTTGAAACATCTTTGAAAAAAAGGATACCTGTATATCACTCATTCAGATTCAACAGTACCTAGCATTTTCTGCTTACTGTTTATGTATACACATATGCATGTACTTGTAGATCTGATCACTCACTTGTTACATCCATTTGCTTGCTTATGTTTGCTGTAGCATGTGAGAATAGCAGAGTTGACACTTCACTTGATGCCTTTGTGGATGTCACATTATTAGAATTGTAATGGAATCTCATTTTCATTTATGGCTTCTGCATATACCCGTGATTTCAGAAGGAAAAATGGTGAATGTTTTGCTTTGAATTATGTGAAATTTCCAAGTCTAAACTTCTAATTTTGCTGGGTCTCTAGTGAAAGGAGAGTTAAAACCATGTTGGTGTCTTTACAGAGCTGGAGAAAATGGGTGTCTTCTGTGTCTAGGGCCAGAATTTTGAAAAAGTTGACATTGTAGCATATCCTCTCTAGAGTGCCATGTCCATCCAAATTCATTTTAGGTTTATGGCATACTTCCCCGGTAAAATACAGTTCCTAGGCTTTCCGTTATAGTGCACACTCATTTTAAAAATTTAACTGGTAGAGTTCTGGCACCATCTTTTCACCAGCAAAATAAACATTAAGCTAGAGTACAGAGGAAAATTGGTAACTATGACTGTGGTCACTTGGCCTTTTAAATCCTTAGCAGTAAAATATTTAAATTTGGGGTATATAAGCTATCTCATAAGTATGTCTGGTAAGCTAAAGTGCGCTGGCTCCTGCTAGGAAGTGTAGTAAAAGCAAAAGCACCATGTTTAGTGTTAGGAGTTACGCACAAGACGTCAACTAGCATGCAAAGTCCTGGCCTAATTCCTCAGCTCTGCAAGGAGAAAAAACGTTCTAAATGTTGGGGTTCAGGAATAACCACACAAACCGTTTCAGACACTGATCTCAGTCAGATGTGGATGGTTTATTGAATGCACATCCCAAGACTGAGTGATCAGGGATGCAGCCCAGATCTGGGAGCTGAGTCTGTGACCTTGAATGCTTTTAGAGTCAGCTTATAAAGGGAAAAACAAACAGCGGAACTGGGTGGTTGACTTCGACTCCAGTTATTTTTGCTAACTAGACAAGGCAGTTCTAGACCTTGGCCCTAAGTAGGCCGGCAGTGAGGGCCAGCTTTGTCCAACTATGTTTATAGTTGGGGGATTTCCAGCAATAGCAAGTTACAGAGTATGCTGAACATAAACATAGTTTTTGGTCAACTTGGGCTTGCACAGAGATTCTTCTATGTCAGCAACAAGGTGGAATGATGTGGCTGGTAATTCTGAAACAAAAATGGCTATAGTTTTGCTAAAGGAGTAAGTTTGCACAGGAGGTAAAGTGGACCTTAACAATAAGAGCATTGTGGCTGGTACTTTCTACTTTAACTGGAAATAGTAACCCAGTAGTACATCTGCTTTAACATAGTTTAGAAATGTCTCCATGTCACCACTACACATTACAGTGTGTGTAATCTCTAGTAGACTACAGTGACTAGAAGTCAGTACATGTCATAGTGATGGATGGCCAGAATTACAAATGGATTAGATTTGATTGTTGGGAAGCTCTTCCTGTGTGTTTAAGAATGAGACATCGCTCAGGGGTTAAGAGCCCTTGTTGCTCTTCCAGAGGAACTGGGTTTGGTTCCCAACATTCATATGGTGGCTTACAAGTATGTGTAACTCCAGTTCCAGGGGATTCCACTTCCCCTCCTCACATCCAGAGTACTATGCATGCACATGGGATGCGTACATACATGTAGATAAAACTAATACATGTTAAAAAAAAAAGAATAATTGCATTCATGTAAAACCTTTGGAGTAGGCTAAGTGGTAGCATGCTTATGTAACATGTGTGAGCCCTTGGGTTCAATACTCAGTATTGTACCAAAACAAACCAAAAAAGTTAAAAGCTTGTTGTAGGTGGAGTTATATAAAATATCATTACAAATAACTACAAGGAAGAGGCCATCCACAATCACTACTTACAAAGGTAATTGTCAGTAGTGGGTGCTGACATTCTGACATTCGTATGCCTCTTTGTTTTTTTGTTTTTTTTTTTGTTTTTGTTTTGTTTGTTTGTTTGTTTTGGCTTTGGTTTTTTTTTTAAATATTTATTTTTATGTATGAGTGATCTGTTTTCACACACCTAGAAGAAGGGATCAGATCCTATTATAGATGGTTGTGAGCCACCATGTGGTTGCTGGGAATTGCACTCAGGACCTCTGAAAGAACAGCCACTACTCTTAACTGCTGAGCCATCTCTCTTCAGCCTGCGTGTATGCCTCTTTGAGAGAATGCCATAAGAAAAATAGAAAACTCTCTATCTTATTTGTATTTTTAAGATGTATTTCATTTTTAATTGTGTGTGAGTGTATGCACATATCAGTGCCTGACAAGTTGAGAGCATCAGATCCCCGATCTCCCTGCCTCTCCTCTGTATGCCGTAACTGGAGTTACAGACAGTTGTGAGCTGCTTTCGACTAGGTGCTGGGAATTGAACTTGGGTCCCCTGCTGAGGTGTACTTAACAGCAGAGTAAGTTCTTTAGCTTCCTCCCCTTTAAAAACATCTATCTTTATATTATTTTTGCCAAAAGTATTTAGCACTGACTCTGATCATGAAGAGACAACCTTGGATGTGGAACAGAAAAACACTGCCTAAGATGTGAAAAAAGAAGAAAAAAAAAAAAGCAGACCGAACACTTTGATTTTGTTGGAGATGGAAAACCAGACAGCTAGATAGTCAAACAAAAGAAGCCAAATGCAGTGCCCAAATTGAGATTTGTTCCTGATTAGAAAATGGCAGCTTTGAAAGACATTTTGAACAATTAAGAAATTTTGTGTATGAGCTTTATATTGAGTGATGCTAAAGTTAATTCCTAAGACACAGTAATTATATTGTGGTTACGGAAGACTAGAGTAACAGTTTCAGGTGAGGTTTCTGATGCTGCATCCTACTTTCAAATAATTCTGAAGGGAAAAAGGGGATTTTCTTTTCTTTTTCTTTTTATTCGTATTTGTTTGTTTAAAAATGTTAGATATGGAAAGAGTAGTGCCTGGTAGAATCAGGTGGAGGATTCAGGTATTACTCCTTTAGCTTGTCTGTGAGTTTCAGTTTTTCTCAAATATTAGAGGGAAAATCTCTTTAAAAGAAAAGCAATACTAATTAATCTTTTTCAGTTTCTAGTTTGTGTTACTGCATTTTTTCCAGCAAGTATGAAAAAGCCGGGCTTCATTAAGTGGCATTTATTCAAACCTGCTGTCTTTAAACCTTCATTCTCTCTTCAGAATCCATTTACCGCAGAGGGGCACGCCGATGGAGAAAGCTTTATTGTGCAAATGGCCACACTTTTCAAGCCAAACGTTTCAATAGGGTAAACTTATTTTATTGGATTCTAGTAGTTTTAGACATCTATTTTTATTTCTTTTTTTCCTTTCTATGAGAGAAAGATAGTTTGTTATTAATCTTGTTAGTTCTTTTAAAAGGAGTAAGCAGTGAGCCTTGTATTCCATTGCTCTGGCAGCGCCTCTAGTTTTAATAGAACATCCTTTCACTGCCCAGTATTCTGCTCCACTCACAGCCTTTCACTCTAAAAGTGTTTCAGGTGTTTAAAAAGGTCAGGACCTGATGAGATCAATGAATGTCATTAGTCTTAGGTTAAACTTCCAGTGTCTGCACCTTATTTTCAAGAGTCTGAAAAAAAAAGATGTGGGTGTTTAGATTTATAAGAAAATTATGTCTAAATACAATTCAAAGCAGACAGAATTTATCAAAGTTTATTGTGTAAACCCTTTAATTCCATTTCCATTGTTTAGAAACAATAATAGTAGCAAACACTTGGCTAGCTTTTACTGTGTATCAGTCAGTTTCCTGAGTGCATTGCCTATGTCCATTCACTAAATCATTACAACAACCCTGTGACATAGAACTGTGTATTTCCATTTCATAGATGAGAAAAATGAAGTTAAATCTTGTCTTAAATGTTTCAGCCTGTAAGTGCAAAACTGGGGTTTGAGAGCAAGCAGTCTGCTGACCTAGCCTGTGTTTAGAGACACCACTTTTCTGACACCCGTTCTTACTGGGTTGCTATAGTTGGCCTGGCACTTGGTATATAGCTAAAGTTAGGTTAGACCTTGTAGTAAACCCTTCTGTCTGTCTAAGTGCTGGGAGTGCCTGGCTTAACTTCTTTTGGTAACTATCCATTTATGGATTCTACTTCTATAATTAACATCTTACCTAAATTCATCAATATCAGTAGAAATGAATGCCAGGGATCTCCAACTCTTATTGCCAGTGCCCCTGGAATTACCAAAGCTTTGGACACTCAGCTCTCTAGGAAGGCAGGGCTTTAGTTTGCCCTCTGCGTAATATGGAAGGCCACATGCTTTATTAGCCACTTACTCTGTGTTCATTACTGGAACACTTTTGTGAAGATGAAAATTTCTTGAGTTTGACATTAGAAGGCAACATGGTTGTATATTCACTGTCTCTTTGAAACCAGCTGTCTTCTGTTTAGTTTTCATTGATCTTCAATAACCTTTGAAGACAAATTATGCATGAGGAAATTTTGGTTTGTTTGATTTTGCCATAAGCTGACAACTGATATCATGATAAGAGGAATTCAGTTAGAGAAGAAAAGCCACTTATTTTTAAATATCTTAGATTTACTTATTTGGCTTTTTTGAGACAGCGTCTCACTATGTAGCTTTGGCTGGCCTTGCACTCACTATGTAGACCAGTCTGGCCTTGGATGTATAGATCAGTATGCCTCTGCCTCATGAATGCTGAGATTAAAGGCATTATGAGCAGACTATTGGCAAATAATTATGTCTGTGGATTTGTTTTGTTTTTTTGTTTCGTGGGGGGGGGGGTTGAGACATGGTTTTTTTGTGTAGCTCTGGCTGTCCTGGAACTCACTATGTAGCATGGGCTGTCCTGGAACTCTCAGTAATCCGCCTGCCTCTGTGTCCTGAGTCCTGGGATTAAAGGTGTGGTCCACGCCAGGCTATGATAAAATATCTTTGAATTTACTCTTGGCAGCGTGCTCACTGTGCTATCTGCACAGACAGAATCTGGGGACTCGGACGACAAGGATATAAGTGCATCAATTGCAAACTGTTGGTTCATAAGAAGTGCCATAAGCTTGTCACAACTGAGTGTGGGCGCCATTCTTTGCCACCGGTAAGGCAGAGGGGTTTTGTTTCCTATATATGTGTATAGTATGCTTCATTTAACAAGGGCAAAACTGGAAGGTATTTAGAAAATACAGTGTGTAGGAGTACTGTACATTCCACTTAAACTATGTAAACTTTGGAAGTCTTAAAATAACTAATAGCAAATGCTATCTAGGCAGCATTCTATTTTCAGTTGTTTGATAAAAGTTATTTCATTCTCAATCAGTATTCAAACTGCTTTCTTTTTTTTCTTTCTTTTGGTTTTTACTGAAACAGGGTTTCTCTGTGTAGCCCTGGCTGTCCTGGACTTGCTTTGTAGGCCAGGCCTCATAGAGATCCACCTGCCTCTGCCTCCCAAGTCAGGCCCAGCTTCTCTTTAGTATTGTACTATAGGAGAAACAATTGCTTTTTAGTCATTTAAAGTATTGAATTATTTTGTTCATTACTTTGAGTGTGTCTTTTTTTTTAAACATGCTTTTAGTAAAAATGATATCATGGATATATGTCTTTTTCTAACTCATTTTTTTTACTGAACAATATGATTTGCTATTTTTTTTTTTAGATTTATTTTATTTATGTGTATGTATCTGTTTGAGCATATTCTGTGTGTGTCCTGGCCATGGAAGCCAGAAGAGTGTCAGATCATTTGGAGTTGAAGTTATAGGTGGTTGTGAACTTCTCAGTATGGGTGCTAGGAACTGACTCAGATCCTTTGCAAGAGCGGCAAGCAGTTTTAACTGCTGCACAGTCCCTCTGTCCCCGTAGTTACGTTTTTGTTCTCTCTTTTTTTCTTAAAGATTTATGTATACAGCATTCTACCTGCATGTATGCTGACATTGCCAGAAGAGGGCACCAGATTCATTATAGATGGTTGTGAGCCACCATGTGGTTGCTGGGAATTGAACTTAGGACCTCTGGAAGAGCAGCCAGTGCTCTTAACCTCTAAGCCATCTCAGAGAGAGGTGTGTGTGTGTGTTCTTTTGTGCACATGTTATGCACGTGACCACAACGTCTGTGGAGGTCAGAGAATAACTTGGGAGATGGTTTTTTCCTGTGTTGTCTCCTGTCTCACATAGGTGGGTCAAGTTGACAAGCAGTCTGTTTATGAAAATAGGTTATTTATTGATGGCTCATTTATGTGAAGATTATTTAGCTAATTTGTTCAAGTTTTCAGTATGAATTTATAGTTTAGGGGGGCAAGTTCACTTTTTAGGGGAAACCCTAAAAATTATAATCATAATCTACCCGTTTCTGTTTGTGGGGGTTAACTTCCGACTTGATCCAAAGTGGAAACACCCGGGGAGAGTCTTGGTGAGCAGGTATACAGTTTGGGTTGTGGGTATTCAGGTGGAATGACCCTCCGTGAGGGCGGCTCGTTTATGGATACATATGGGCTGTGTGTGAGTAGAGAAGGCTGCAGGCCTGCCCGTGCCTATTAATGTTATGCTTTTGACTGTGAATGTCATGTGACCAGCTGCTTGCGTGTCTTTCTTGATGTTCTCCTCAATGATGGACTGCAGCCTGGGAATAATTATGTTACCCTTCTCACCTAAGTTGCTCATTTATTGGTATATTTTATCACAGCAACAAAAATGAGATTTTCATGAGTAGTCTTAATTGGTGTTCGTATGTTTAAAAGAAAGGCAGTGGCCAGAGTTAGTGACTAGATGAGACTTCAGGGCAGGTACTGATGGCATGCTTATTGTTAAAGCACTCCAAAAGTTGTAACTCCATACTTAATGCTCTTTCTAAGTTGACTTGTTCCTGATGCTGTTATTAAACTTGGAGGCTTATTAATTAATAACAGATGGGTTTGAATAAGCCTTGTTCCTTAGGTTGCTGGCAGGTAGTTGGTTAAGTCCATTTCTGAGAGGTATTTGTTTTCCTTTTCTGGCCCTTTGATATTTTTGAGACTATACAAAAAATAGGAAACATACAAAATATTACATATAGTTTTAAGAGGTTTATAGTATCTTAAAGCCAACCTCTGAACTTTCCTGCCAAAGACTTAAAATGCAGCCCAGAGGGAGAAAAAGGTAATTTAAAAGAGGGAATCACATTAGATAGTTCAGTGTTATTTTTCAGTTGACCTGAAATCACTTTTTTCTTCTTGTAAAAGTGTGGTGTTATGTCATTCATAGGAGTGTTGCATGGCTTTATGTAGTTAAGTATTATAATAATAATGTAATTCATGTCACCTAGTTTTTCACATTAAGTCTTAGTATGATACATCTCATTGAAATACTGTTGTTTCTGAATTTATAGAGACTTAGGGACTTAAAAACAATCTTCTAAGTTACTGTGTCTTTGGAAATGTTTGTAGGAACCAATGATGCCAATGGACCAGTCATCCATGCATCCAGAGCATGCTCAGACAGGTAAGGGAGTAGAGTAGCAGTTGGAGACTATGCAGTAAACATCCTTCTTTCTGTCTGTCCTTTCTGTCCTCTCCATTCTTCCCTTTCCCCCCCTCTCTTTCCTTTCTTTCATTCTTTTTTCTTCAGTAAGTTCTTTCTCTCTCTCTCTCTTTTTTTTTTTTTTTTTGGTTCCTTCTTTCGTTCTTTCCTTAGTTTGTTCATTTTCTGAGAGTTACTCTGTGTAGCTCTGGCTGTCCTGGAACTCACTGTATAGACCAGACTGGCCTTGATCTCAGAGAACCACTTGCCTCTGCCTCCCAAGTGCTGGGATTAAAGTTTTGTGTTTTTTTTTTTTTTTTTTTAACTAGTTTTGTTTAAATGGTTTATTATGTATACAGTGTTCTGCCTACATGCTAGAAAAATGGGGCACCAGATTTCATTATAGGTGGTTGTGAGCCACCATGTGGTTGCTGGGAGTTGAACTCAGGACCTCTGGAAAAGCAGCCCTTAACCTCTGAGCTCTCTCTCTAGCCCACGATTAAAGTTTTATGCCACCTCTCCACCTGTCTCATTTCTTTTTTTATTTTTTTAATTAGCATCCAGGATATTAGATTTCATCATAGCATTTTCAAATAGAACTTTGGTTGCTTCTCCTTCCTGTTTTCTCTTACATTTTCCCTACCATAAGCCCTTCTTTCCTCAGGAGTCTCCTTTCAACTGTCCTGTGGCAACTTTTTTTTTTATCTTAAGTACCTAAGCATATTTTGTGGTGGTAAAATTGTCACAGTATTTTAATATACATATTTAGCACTTGAAAAAACAACCGTGTAAACTAACAATTGGCTTTCTTAGTTCAAATAAATTCTTTTGAGAATCCTCCAGATTGAGCAAGCCTAGTTTCTTTTTCAAAGTGAGAAAGTACAAAGCTGAGTTTGGAGCCATGTTGACTGTTGAGGCAACTTGGTTTTATTTAAATCTTTATTCTGAGAATGTAGAGATACAGCATAGCAAACTGACTGTGTGAGATGAGGTTAGTGTTTTGTTTTGTTTTTTTAAGGATTTATTTATTTATTTTATGAATGAGTGCACCTGTATACGTGAAGAGCACATCAGATCACAGTATAGATGGTTGTGAGCCACCATGTGGTTGCTGGGAATTGAACTCAGGACCTCTGGGAGAGCAGACAGTACTTTTAACCACTGAGCCATCTCTCCAGCCCCTGAGCTTAGTGTTTTAAACAGGAACAAAATCTTAAGTATTGCATTTGGGAAATTCTGAAGCTAAAAGAATGTTTCTGGAAGGGCAGACTGCTCCATTGATCATAAAAGAAGTTTGAAAAGCCTGTGCTAAAGGCTTCCTTACTCCCACAGCCCCTAGCAGCTTTGGTGAGTAGCAGCACTGGCCTTGTCAGTTCTTCATCTCTGTGAGAGTCAAGCATTTTTAAGATCAAGAAACAAGAGATGAATCCATTGGCCTGCCATCTCTGTCTTAGCATACTAAAGCATTAAATAGGATTTGTGGTCACCTATATAGAACAAATTATTCATAAAGAAGAGAAAAGGTAGCAGTTAGCTGCCAGGTGGTTCTTCTTCTTTGCTTTCACTTTTTTTTTTTTTGGGGGGGGGGGTGCTCGGGGATTTTCGTGGCTATCCTGGAACTCATTCTGTAGACCACACACTGGCTCCGAACTCAGAGATCTGCCTGTCTCTGAGTGCTGGGATTAAAGGGGTGAATTACCGCTGCCTGGCCCACTACTCATAATAAATAATTTAGGACAAATGTTAAGCTTTACCTAATTAAACTCAGTCATATGTATAAACTAAGAAAAACCATCAAAAAATTTTAAGCAGAATTCATCATTGATTATTTGTTTTCTTTTTTAATATTTGCTTTTGAATTTTCAGTAATTCCATATAATCCTTCAAGTCATGAGAGTTTGGACCAAGTTGGTGAAGAAAAGGAGGTAAGATAGTTTCTCTTCCTATGTACAGCATCATTGGCCTTTTAGAAAGACATAATCTTTTAGAATATAACACTGATCTGCTTAGACATTAGATCATAACAGTAAAATACAAGGAAGATACCAAATGGTTTTTAGAGTTTTATTTTGATTTAACTTTTTAATTAAGTAATTTTAATTATGAAATAATTTGAAAAGTTATTTTTACTTTAAGATAGCATAAACAAAAATTATAGTGTATACAGGAATAGCATTTAGTACTTCATAATAATGTTTGAAACATTGTAGACTGTTTTGTGTACTGATTGCTTACTTTAAGCATGAATGATTAAGTGCTTAGTTGCCACCTAAAATATTGCTGTTACTGCTGCATGTGGAGATCAAGGGACGGTTTTGTGGAGTCGATAGTCTCTAATAGTCTCCATCCACCTGTACATGGCTTCTGGGGATCCAAATTAGGCTGCTACACCTGTGTGGCAGACACTCCTATTCCACCATTTAAGCCAGATCAACTGGAGCAGTAGTTACAGGCTGCTGGCCCCTGCCTGATGTGGGTGCTGAACTTGGGTCCTCTGCCAGAGCAGCCAGTGCTCTCAACGACTCAGCTGCTTTTCCAACCTGAGTTTACTGTTTCTGAAGCAGAGATGAATTAAAGCCATGGCCAGTTTTAGAAAAGCTTTTGGTGAGAAAGCAAGCCATGTCTCACCTATTCCTGGTTTGTTGTCTTGCAGGCAATCTTTTTCCATTTCTAGTTGTGCGAGCAGTGCTTATGTCTGTTTTTCGAATGTATGTATTTCTGGCCAGTGAAGATTATTTTTTTACCTTTTTCTTTCTCTTTCTAGTGTTTGATGGGTATGTTATTTTGTGCTTCTCATTTATCTTCCAACTTCTTATTATGGACATTTGGAACAAAAGTAGTAGACAGAATATTGTCGCAAAGTCTCGTATACACTCCTTAGATTAATTAATTAATTCCCCAGTTAGTTATGAACACACAGTGGTTAATCTTGGCCACCCACTACTTTCTCCAGCATAATTTTGAAGTAAATCTGTTGATCCTGTGTTTTTGTTTTTGTTTTAAGATTTATTAGTAGTTTTTGCCTGCATGTGCACCTTCAGGCCAGAAGAGGGCACCAGATCTCATTATAGATGTTTGTGAGCCACCGTGTGGTTGCTGGGAGTTGAACTCAGAAACTCCAGAATTGCAGCCAGTGCTCTTAACCTCAGAGCCATCTCTCCAGCCCTGATCCTGTGTTTTTAATTTGATATCTTATACTCTAATGTAGTCAATTACTTTTGTTTGTTTGCCCAGGCTGGCCTGGAACTCTCTGCATATCTGAGGATGGCTCAGTCTCCTGATCTCCCTACCCACCCTCCCAGATATGGGATTACAGGTGTTCAGCAAGCACCCTGCCCAGCCAGCTGCACCCATATCTCTACTCTGTCTGTTTACCCTTATTCTTTCTTTCCTGTTTTTTTAAGGCCGCATGTTTACTTTTACGTCGCCAGGGTTGTTAACATTTAGAGCCCATCCTGCCACTGTAACAAAATCTTCCTTGTTTTGTTCATAGGCTGAATGAGTCAGACAAAGGAAGAAAACCCTAGTAATAAAAAATGAGTCCTCTGTTCTTCTGGATCCATGTATTGCCAGTGTTTCTCTGATCTGTTTTTCAGTGCTCCTTTTAATTCCCCTTTGTTCCTTTTAGAAACTGCCATTGGCATTTCATCATCATTATTCTACTGCTTTGCTTGTTTACCATTAAGATTTGCAGTTATTTTTTAAATGATAAAAGTAGGTGCAGCTAGATGAATTTCCACACAGTGATCACTATTGACCTCTCAGAAGTAAGTTCTGTCAGCACTCGAGAGGCCGTTTTGTAGTTCCTGGTCACTGGCAGCCTCTCTTCTCTCCAAAAAGTACCTATTGTGTACTCCCCTCAGATTACCTTTGCCTTTGTTTGTTTTTGTTCCAGCTGTAGAAACAGATTCATACAATATGCAGGTCTCTGGAGCCTTTCATATAACACAGATGCATGCTTCACAAAGCAGTACCCAATTATTTTACCAGTTCAGTTAATCTGTCCCACTATTCAGTTTTCCCTCTTGGTTGGAATTATTATGATGAGTTACGATGGAACAGTCTTATAAATGTGGTTTGGCAACTGGCCCTGTTAATGAAGCCTGTTGTCATCCCAGCTACTCAGGAGGCTGAGGATAAGTTAAAGGGCTGCCTGATACTGAACAAAACTGAGCCAGCCTAGGCAACTTAGTGAAGACCCGTTTCAGAAGGGTTGAATGGTAGAACACTTAACATTGTTTTATAAAATGAAAATCCCAACTTTTCTATTTTACCAATAAAGACTCAGGAGCCAGAGGCTAGGGTGAAAACCGACTAGCTCAGAGAGGCAGATAAAACACCCAGCTGATCTTCCTTCTCAGCTCAGGTCTGGATGGAAAAAACCCAAAAGGCTCACTAGCTCATCTGACAGCCCAGGGGCAGAAGGCCAAATAAAACCCAAGGCCGAAGGCTTGTAGCTCAAAGCCCAAAAAACCAGGGAGCTGAGGAGCTGAAGCCTAAGCTAAAGCCAGAGTTGAACTAATAGCCTTTTCTTCGTCTGCACACTGTCTTAAGTACCCCTCAACTCAAAGTCCCTCCTACTCTTTAATCCCTGTCAAGCTAGTTTCTTGCTCTACCTCTTAACCTAGGGTTAACTGTGTTAAATCCTGTGTACAGAAAGCTCTTGGATTAAAGTTGTGTGCTAGGCCTGAGTGAACCACACCATAATCACCTGTTTACAATAAACAGTTCTTGAATTAAAGGTATGTGATAGGGCTCAGGAGGCTGAGGATAAGTTAAAGGGCTGCCTGATACTGAACAGGTCTGAGGCAGCCTAGGCAATTTAGTGAAGACCCATTTCAGAAGGGTTGAATGGTAGAACACTTAGTTGTTTTATAAAATGAAGATCCCAACAGACAAGATCAACCACAACAAAAACGAAAAACAGGGTTTTACAGGTCATAATTTGAGGGTTCACAATGCTATCAAATATTCTGCAACACTCTTACTTAGCACACATGAGCTCTTGAGTTCCGTTTTTAGTATAACATAAAACACAATAAAAATTTCAACCCCCAGAACTACATTAATTATGTAAGTAAATAAACAAGTTAAGTGCATAACTAGATGTACTGAGTAGTATGTACGCTGTAAGACACAGTGGCCAGTCTTTTCATAGGTGAGTTTATACTTCCATCAACAGTGAATGAGAGTTTCATTGCTTCTCATTCTTGTCCATACTTTGTATAGTCCATCTCTTTTAAGCCAGTCCTTTGAGTGGATAGTAGCAATGTATGATTTTTTTTTTAAACTTTTTTGTTTGTTTTGTTTTTCAAGACAGGGTCTCACTGGGTAGCCCTGGCTGTCCTGGAATTCACCCTGTAGAACAGGCTGGCCTTCAACTCACAGAGATCTGCCTGCCTCCGCCTCCTGAGTGCTGGGATCAAGGGCGTGTGCCACCACCACCTGGCCTTAAACTTTTTTTTTTAAAGCTTGTCATTCTATTGTTGGTTTATATGTCCTGCACCCTTAAGATTTACTACAAGCTGTTAATACTGTGATCATTTTCAAGATGTACTTTAAACTCAGCACTTGAAGTTTAGTCCTTCTCTCTTCCTGTCGTCAGTGCCATTTTTGCCATATTTTAAAATTCCATTTGTGTGTGTAGGTGGTTAAAGCAATGCTCTTTATTTAGATTTGCCCACATTTACCCACTTTGTTCTCTGTGGTAGTGTCTGTCCTTTTCTGCCTAATGTTTTATCTTTTTGAAGAACTGAATTAGTATTTCTTTAATGTGAGTCTACTATTATGAAATCTAATTATTCTTTATAATCTTTTAAATTGACCATTTTTAAAAATATTTTTTAGATATATTTCTTTCACGTGTATCAGTGTTTTGCTTGCATGTATGTCTATGTACCACATGTGTGCTTGGTGCCTTAGGAGGTTAGAAGAGGGTATTGAATCCCCTGGGACTAGAGTTACAGACAGCTGTGGGCTGCCATGTGGGTTCTGGGAATGGAACCAGAAGCCTCTGGAAGAACAGCCAGTGCTCTTAACCTCTGAGCTATGTCTCCTGCCCATGACCATTTTTTAAAAAACAATGTGTTTTTATTGTTTTAATTACTTGTATGTTGAGGGGGTATGAGTGCATGTGTGTGAATGTGGGTACATGCACATGAGTACAGGTACCTGCAGCGGTCAGAGGAGCTTTTCTTTCTTTCTCCCCTCTCCTCTTCTTTTCTTTTTTTATTTTCTTGATACTTTTCTCCAGAGGATTTCTGCTTTATTCTTGTGGACATTTGTTGATTATGTGTTGATGGTTTGTAGTACTGGGCTATAGGCATGGTCCCTAAAGGTGTTCTTTTTGGTTTTGCAGGAATCTTATAAAAGATTATGTTTAGTGGTCTATATAAATTGACAGGAGCTTAAATTCCTAGTTCTGAATGAATTACAAGAGTTACTTTGCTATCCCTTTATCTAATACTAAATCTACCTTTAACTGAACTGCCTCATGTCTGTTTCCTGCCTATAGCATCTCATATACTTTGGAGTGCGTTCTCTCACTAGCAAGTTACATTTCTCTAGCTTCTACCAGACTCTTAGTAGACTCCTCCATCCATTTTAATTTAAATTCTTTCACAAAACCAAACAGATAAACACATCTACCAGTGTTATCCTGTCCACATATTTTATTTTCTTTATCAGTGGTACCTCTGCTCTCCAGTCATGAAAATCAGTGTCATTTTTAATTCATCTATCTGTTGTAGTAAATAAAAAATGAGTGTGGTTGGGCTATATAATGTTTTTTATTTGCCCTGTAATTATCATGGCTATATTATCTAACCTGCTATCACAAATAATAAGACACAGACACCTGTTAGACTTACAATTTTTTATTTGCTTTGGGCCAGGCAGATATTTCACTTACACTGTCTCAGTATCCTCACCATCCATCTCCTAGCCCCCATCCAATGCCATCTACCTTAATCCTTTCTATCTGGACCACATTCCATCCATAATCCCATGGTACTTGAACCTTAGCCAAGCCTACCCCATGTTGCCCTGCTCAGGTATAGACCATTAATCAACCAGTCAGATATGTCTGAGGCAGGTTTACAAAACAGAGATAGGTGTAACCAGATCTTAAGGGCCAGTAACACACATCAGACCAACCTCCAACATATCTCCATGATACTTATACTTAAACTTTTCAGGTCTTTTAAAGGCATCCTTTAATACTCCTCAAATTTCAACTATGTTCTTACTACTTAACTCACAAGCTAGCTTATCTCTTAAAGATTGAATGTTTTAGAATATATAAGAGTTAAGAACTTAAAATATTTTTTATGTTAAAATACTTTAAAATCATTATCATTAGAACAGTTTGTTAGAAATATAAAGTACTGAGGAAAATATTTCCAGGTAAACTTCTGTTGCTATAAATACTCTCAACAGGCAATGAACACCAGGGAGAGTGGGAAAGCCTCGTCAAGTTTAGGTCTTCAGGATTTCGATTTGCTTCGAGTTATAGGGAGAGGAAGTTACGCCAAAGTACTGTTGGTTCGATTAAAAAAAACAGATCGCATTTATGCAATGAAAGTTGTGAAAAAAGAGCTCGTCAATGATGATGAGGTAAGCACGGTGATGTCTTTCTACTTTTCGACAAACCCTGGCATGCACAGGGCACAAGGTTTAATACAGAGTACCAAACATGCATATACATTCACAAAACCAAAGTCACACTGATTCAGAGTTTGTCCATGATGATTTTGATCTACTTTTCTAAGCACATGCTTTAGGTAAAAATAAAGTGAAGGCATATTATTATCAAGAAAAGTACTTGACCTTTTTAAGTTAGCTGAACAGTTTCATAATACTAGACATTTTGTTACGGTATTTTTCTCTTTGTATAAGTTTTGTCTCATAACAATGAGTGGTTCTGATATTTAATCTAATTAGTTAACATTTGTGAATGGTCAATGATGAGTTGCTAAGAACAAATTTATCATTAGCTTTGGTCATTTCGTTTGACATAGATTTCTTTGCTGCTTTAAATAGGATATTGACTGGGTACAGACGGAGAAGCATGTGTTTGAGCAGGCATCCAATCATCCTTTTCTTGTTGGGCTGCATTCTTGCTTCCAGACAGAGAGCAGGTAAGGTTAAAGGGTAACAGAATGTTGCTGGGCTTCATACTTCTTAACGTGGTATATAAGAAGAATCTGTTTCCCATAATTCCCAAAGTGAGAATACTTATAACTTCCTGCTACAGTCAGTGATACCAGTTTAACACCAGTCACTAGGCATAAAAGAAGGAAACAGAGGGAAAGAGAAGGGGCTCCCAAGAAACAGCAGTAGACAGCCAGCCCTTCAGATAGCCTCCGTATTCTTATCTTATGACACAGTGTCTTATGTACCTTCAGTGACATTTAAACATGAATCACCTAGAAAATAAGATTGTGCTGTCGTAAGTAGATCCACACTGCAAATGGTGCTACTCTAAAGTAGAATTCGAAGTTGGGTCGTGCTGGGTCACTTTCTGGTGTCCATGCCCCTTGTTTCCCTAATTTCACGGCAGCATAGGTTAAAGACTGAATCATTCAGAATGCTAATGCCATTGCTGTACAACTTGCTTTGACCTGAGGTTTTGCCTGTGTTTTAGGTTGTTTTTTGTCATAGAGTATGTAAATGGAGGGGATCTAATGTTCCATATGCAGCGACAAAGAAAGCTTCCTGAAGAACACGCCAGGTAAGGTTTTGTTTGAGTTGGATTTTTTTCCTCAGGGTTGCCTGACCTTTTGTGTCTAATAGTTGAAAACAGCACATAAACAAGTTACCTTGTTAGTTTATTCTTTGTAACTCATGAGGAGGCTGAACTAGATTAATTTACAATATAAATTATTATATATCTATTACATATTATCATAATCCTCTGTGTTCATTTTGTATTTAGAGTTTTTCAAATGGTTACTGTTCATAACAAAGCCATATATTCTTTTCAATTTAAGGTTTTACTCTGCAGAAATCAGTCTAGCACTAAATTATCTTCATGAGCGAGGGATAATTTATAGAGACCTGAAGTTGGACAATGTTCTGCTGGACTCTGAAGGACACATTAAACTCACTGACTATGGCATGTGTAAGGTGAGAGCCTCTCCAGGCAGCTTAAACCTGTCAGTTAGGTGACTTCATGTTTAGATGGGAAATAATCACTGCCGTGTTTGGGATGATTTGGAATTCTAACCCGAAGACAAGTGTACTCCCTGGTTATTCGGCCAATTGCAGAATTCCATGTCTTCTGTGATTTGTGTGTTATAGAGGGTTAATTATTTTTAATTGGTTGTAACTTTTTGTCTTGAGAGCTGTTACGTTTGAAGAAACTTTGGAAATAAAAATTACCTTCAATCCCATTATATTAACACAGTGTCTGCATATCACCTTCTAATCTTTTATCATTTAATAGACCTGAACCTACTTTCAAAGTTTTCCTAGGAGTCTGCTTTTATATTTAAATTTCAAACTCTGACATAAAGTATGACAAAAATTAAGTAAGAAATTTACTTTATCTCAGGATATGTTTATTATTGGTGTTTTATTCCTTCAGCAACAGTGTTTCATTTAGAGGTCAGGTCTTTTCCCATGAAATGTCTAGAGAACTGTCCCACTTATTAATCTGCTCCAACAAAACCTCCCCATGTCTGAGTGTTCACACTGCTTTCCGTATTCGTTGGGAGGAAGTGCCATAAACATTCAGCTGTTAACACACCTGTACTTCCTATATTAGAAAGCAAAGTCTTGGCACAATGTGGAAAACTGAAGACCATTCTCCCTATCGTAAACCTTAAATCATTCTCTTACGTAAATTTTATTTGTAAACAGTGAAAAGGGTTAGTCACTGGACCCCTGGTGTCCTTCACTTATATTCAGGATATTTTTTGCAGTGCCATTTTTTTTTCTATAGTGTTTTGTTTTGTTTTTTTCTCTAGTTTTAAAAAGAATCACAATAATAATGGATCCTTAGGAGATTCAAGAGCAGATAAAAATATGAAGAGTATTTATCTGCAGTTAGAACAGTGGGTTGGTCACTAGCTGAGTATTAGTTAAAATTACTAGTAGCACAAGGAGACAGAGACATGGTGATACACTGCTGTAAGGCTGAAGCAGATGATGACACGCTCAAGGCAAGCCTGGATTATACAGCAAGACTTATCCACTGAGCCATCTCCCCTGCCCTGCAAGGGGCCTTTCTTTTATGACTGTCTGTCCTCCCTGTCTCCAGACATATAGGGCCATATGTAACATACTTGGTTATTGGTTTGGTTTTATTTTGTGTTTATTTGTTTTGGTGGGTGTTTTTGTTTCTGTTTTGCTTGCATCTGTTCTTTGGAGTCAAAGCTTTGCTGTACAGCTTAGGTTGACTGAATTACCAGCCCTCCTGTTTCTTTAGTCTCCCAAGTGCTGGGATAACACGTGTACCACCATGCTTATTTTTATTTTTTTAGTCCTAGTTTTTAATCCAAAATTTTCTGTTTATTAGTTGGCGTGTAGGATATGTTTTCTGATATAGAAATGTTAAGCATCTCATGATTGAAGACCATGACATTTTCCTAATGTGCTCATTTTTATTCTTTTTTAAAGAGTATACTAGTAGGAATACAGAAATTTATATTTGTTACAGTTCTTAATGGTTGTTCCCCTTATAATTGGGTATTTTCTCTACTTAGCTTATTTGTGCATTGTGCCTTAGTTGTTCACTGTCCTACAGCTATTAAAGTACCAAAGCAGGAGACTTAACAGTGTTGGGACGAAGGATTTAATTCATGAAATACTCATTTTAGTCACATGATCTCCATTTTTGTAGTAAACTTTAACATGTTATTTTAAAGCAGTTTTATCTTAATTGACCTGACTTCAGCAACATCTAGTGTGACTGGGTTTTCTTCACGCTTGTTAGCAATGATCGCTGTCCTAGTGGTGCTGTTCAGGCTGAATTCAGACAGGTAAAACAGAAGAGGTAAACTTAAAATAGTCTTGTATCTTTATCTTTCTTTTCTTTTTCCTCCATGAAAGGAAGGCTTGCGGCCTGGAGATACAACCAGCACTTTCTGTGGCACTCCCAATTACATTGCTCCTGAGATTTTAAGAGGAGAAGATTATGGTAATAAATAAATGGGTGGTATTTTGGCTATTGCTATATTGGTGTTTAAATATGGTACCAACTATAACATAATACACTATAGCATTTTTAATATTAATAAATATAAACTTTTCTTGGTTCTTTTAACCTACATGAAGACCCCTATATTCTGAGCCAAAAAAAAGTTTGGCATTGGGAGAGTATACATTTTACTAGTGGCAAACACTGAACAATGGCAGGAACCATTAACAATCAACTCTTAACTAAGTTCCCCTACAGACCTTCTGATGTGAGTGTTATTGATTCATTTTACAAATGAAGAAAGTGATGCACGGAAGTTTAAATCACATGGTTAGAACACATTAGATAGGAAGTGGCCAGGTAGGTACAGGGTTTCTCTGTGCAGTTTTGGCTGTCCTGAACTCGCTTTGTAGACCAGGCTGGCCTTGAATTCACAGAGGATCTGCCTGCCTCTGCCTTACTGAGTGCTGGGATTACAGGTGTGTGCCACCAGGCTCAGCCCATTCTTTAGTTTTTTAACAAAGTCAGGGTCTCACTACGAATCCCTGGCTGTCCTGGCACTCGCTCTGTAGACCAAGCTGGCCTCAAACTTACAGAGAACCACCCGCCTCTGCCTCCCGAGTGCTAGGATTTAAAGTGCGCCGCTATGCCTGCCTTTTGTTAATTTTTCACACTGATAGTGTTTTTATTAATTCTTTGAGAATTTCATGCAGTATGTTTTTTATCATATCTACCCCTTTCCCATTCCTCCCAAACCCACACACGACTTTCCAGCCCTGTGCCCTCTTCATTTTCACTCATAAAGTCCAGATTGTGCTGCCCAGATATTCTTGGATGTGTGGGCTTCCATGGGAGCAACTCTTTTAGAGAAAGCTCCCTCTCCCAGTAGCTACCACTTGCCATAGCTCCTTGTGTCTGCCTCTTCTTAATGTGCTGGGCTTCGGTCTGACTTGAGTGTGTACAGGGCTGTGCATCTTTCCCGGTTGCTCTGAGTTCACGTGTGTAGCCTAATGTGTCTGGAGGCTGTTTTGTATTCATTCACCACCTCTGGTGCCTTTAGTCTTCTCCCTTTTCCATAGTGGTCTCTGCGTGGGAGGAGGGATTATAACATAGACGTTCCTTTTAGGGTTGGGCCAAGTATTTCTGTAGTCTTTAGCGCCTACCATTTTATTTATAATCTAATTAGAATTTACGTGTTCATTATGTTTATATTTTCATCTCATGACAAATAAGTTTCTGATTGCTGGCTAGCTTTTAATGCATGCAGAGAAGATTTATTGTTTAACCCTTCTTTCTAAAGGCTTCAGCGTTGACTGGTGGGCTCTTGGAGTGCTCATGTTTGAGATGATGGCCGGAAGGTCTCCATTTGATATTGTTGGGAGCTCTGATAATCCTGATCAAAATACAGAGGATTATCTATTCCAAGGTAATCTGCAGTGAGATTCTCTGTTAATAACCTAGAGCAAGTCAGGGCTCTCAAATCACTATTCTGAATGAGAAAAAGTAATTTGTACATACACCCCTGATTTCATGATAGTTTGGATAATTTTTAAATATACCCTTCTCACTTCTCTAGTATACAGTTACATTTTCAGTTTCCTTCCCACACTCAAACCCATAACAAAGCATCTTACTTGTCTGTCATATATCTTAGAGCTGGGTAACTACTGGTTAGAGAGGCTAATCTTTGTACATGGGCCCAGGCTTAGTGCCTAAGTTGAAGGAAAGTAGAGTGTGAATGATCAGAGGGATCAGAAAGGTGTTGAGGGCTCTGGGTGCCATGGTGAGGAGTGCTAAAAGTCAGCAGGACAGAACCAGGAGGCCAACACAGGGACCTTTACCATGGAGTGTAAATGGTAAAGTGTAAATGGCCACAAAATCTGCATTTAATAATTAAAACCCTCACAGAATATGAGGACTTATTTCATATAACAGGGAACCAAAGTGCCATTAAGAATATGAAAAGAGAATCCACACTGCATGTTAATGAGCTCTGGTTTTGTAGCTATGCATTTACAGAGATTTCAGTCTGATAGTAACTGGCTAGTGCTAACGAAGGTGCAGAGCAGCAGAAGGCCGTCAGGACTGCTGGTCAGGGTGGGAGTTGACAGGAGCTTTGCAGAATAATTTCACAATTCCAGGTACAATTATGAGTTACATATGCAAGCACTTTACAGCATTAATTTTTATACCTCGTAAAAGCCCTGTGAAGCAGGTATTTTTTTTATTTCTGATGATAGAGGAAGAAACTGAAGCACACTAAGGTAGTAAAAATGAGATATGCTTGTAAATAATAAATGGAATGTCCAGGCAAGGGGCTAGCTCTTAGAAGGGGAGCTAAGGGATTAGGAAAATCCATGAAGTATTTCAGTTATGTAGATAATGTATTTTCTGCCAGAATGCCTTAAATATCTTGGAATTTACAGAAAAAAAAAAAAAACAAAAAAAAAACCTTAACATTCATGCCACATAAAAGCTAAAAATTATACTGTGATTCTTATTTTTTTTAGTCATTTTGGAAAAGCAAATTCGCATACCACGTTCTCTGTCTGTAAAAGCAGCAAGTGTGCTGAAGAGTTTTCTCAACAAGGTATGAATGGTGTGTAAAATCTTCTGTGGTTTCTTTACCTGTGTAAGTCTACCTGGTAAGTGGAGGCTCAGGCAGGGTGATGTTTTAAAACAAGAGTATGTAACTTATCAGTTACAACTGGAATTTTTGTCACATAGCAAATATAATTTACCCCCAGCTTGATACTGCATTTGATGCTTTTAATGTAAATGATACAGACATATCATATCCTCAGTGGATGGAAAATGCAATTTGGGATTTGCTATAACTGCATTTTCAGCTCTATTTTTCTGTATCATTATCCATAAAACCCATTTATTACCACATTTTTTTTTTTTTTTGAGCATATGGTCAAAAGTTTTCTCTATCCATTTCATATTAAAGAGTTTATATTGAGATAAAAATTCGGAAGAAATGAAGTGACATCTTAAAAATGTAAGCATCATTCAATTGCCTGTAGTAGTAGTTGGTAAGCCAGAAGCATTTAGAATCTAAGATTGTGAATTTGGGATTCATAAATTTTACCTCAAATAAATGAAAGTAGAAAATTAGTTATGTTTACCTCTCTGGGCAGATAATTTATTGTATGTGTCCAGGTGTTCTGCCTCATGTGTATCTGTACCACATGCATTACTGTGCATGAGGAAGGCAGAAGAGGGCTTCAGATCTCCTGAACTGGAGTTAGAGATGATTGTGAGCAGCTGTGTGGGTGTTAGGACCCTCGGAAGAGCAGCCAGTGTGCTCTTAGCCACTGAGTTACCTCTCTGGCCCCTGGATAGCCATGAGGGAAGAAAAGTGAAGTTGAGAGGTGCTCATGTATAAAATAACATGGCTTTCATCAGAAAGAAAACATTCTAATTCACAGTAACTAAGGCTTTATGAGTTCTAACTTCCATCTCAGTTCAGTGATCACATAATTGCTGTGTCATTGTCTTAGACAAATTAGAGTTTGTTGCTGTAGTTGAGCATAGGGCTATAACACTGAGCTAAACCTAAGAGTGTGAAAACGTTCAGTGGTTTCTGTATTATGACTGAACTCTGGCCCACAAGAAAGTACTAGCTAAATGTGGCCCTTATTTTTCCTCACAGTCTTCCTTTAGCAAAGACTAGTAATAGTACTCTACCATTTTAGAAACAGGGTCTCATGAAGCCTAGGCTGACTCTGAATTCTATATAACAGGGGATGGCCTTGAATTCCTGATATTTCTGCCTCTACCTCCCAACTGCTGGGATTATAGGTATGCACCGCCATGCCTGGTGTAGGATTCTCTACTTACTGAGCTGATAAGTTTTTTTTTTTAACAACAGAATTTTTTTAAAGATTTATGTTATGTATGTATACAATATTCTGCCTGCATATACACCTGCACGCCAGAAGAGGGCACCACATATCATTATAGATGGTTGTGAACCATCATGTGGTTGCTGGGAATTAAACTCAGGACCTCTGGGAGAGCAACCAGTACTCTTAACTTCTGAGCCATTTCTCTAGCCTGAGATGATAAGTTGATAAAGAGCCAGGAGGAAACCTTGCCTGTTGTGAGGTCTAGATTACTCACTTTGGTCTGGTGGTATGCTCTCTAGAAGTAGCTAGACATTTCAGGAAATGGAATTATAGGAATTCCGGAAATAGGAATTATACTCACCTAATCTCTTGAAATCTTACTTTTGCCATAGGACCCAAAGGAACGATTGGGTTGTCACCCTCAAACTGGATTTGCTGACATTCAAGGACACCCATTCTTCCGAAACGTGGACTGGGACATGGTATGTAAAATTTTTTTCCTAGCTTGGGTTTTATTGTAACCCAGGGCCAACTTTAATAAGTTACCAAAAATTACGGTATTATAGCTTAAATCATTTAAAATTACTCTATAGTACTGATAAAAAGCTTTAGAAACAAAACAATATTAATGCACTGGAGCATTGTAATAGTTTTGAGGCCCATACTAATGTTCAGATTAGTAAGAGGTGGCTTTGTCTGCTGAAGTTGCTTAGCAGATTAGCTGGGGAGACAACAGAGAACGGGTGAAATGTGGAGGCGCAGTGTTTCTGAGTGTAGACTGAACTGTCATTGGTGTGTCTCTAGATGGAACAAAAGCAGGTGGTGCCGCCTTTTAAACCGAACATTTCTGGAGAATTTGGTTTGGATAATTTTGATTCCCAGTTTACTAATGAACCAGTTCAACTCACTCCAGATGATGAGTAAGTAAATCTACACACTAAAATGTTTTTAAACTTCTTTTGAAATCTCCTAATTTTAAGGCTATGTTATGAAAATACTAATCTATATGTAACCATTACAGTGCTGGGTGTTTAAATCCACTATGCTGTTAGAGTATCTCTAACAGTGATTACATCTACTTGCTTTGTGTGCATCATTCAGTTCTCACACAGCTTTGTAAAGTGGGTATTGCTGTCTTTACCTTATAGGTGAGAAGCCAGGACCCGGAGGCTAAGCACAGTAGAGCAGGAGTCTGAATTCACACCCGTAACTGACTGACCAAGGCCTCTGGGTTGCACTGCTCCATTCTCTTCTCTCTGAGTTTTTAGTTTAGCCAGCAGGGATCACAGTAGTGTTTGTCACATCTTTCAAAAATACAATTTAGAGTAATTTAAGATTATGTTGATTTTCTTGAGGGGCCTTTGCTCTTGGCATTCACTGTACTTATATCTCAGTCCTAGCATTCTTCGAAGCTATTCCTTCTAGTCTCCGTTTTTGAAGCCTTCTCTCAATGGATTAAATCGAAACTCTTGACTTTAACTGCAAGAATTGAAACCTCCCTGGTGTAGCTTGCTTCATAGTGCACTTCTCAGAGGGCTGCTCCAGCTCTTCAGCTGGTAGTCAGAACCTTTCCAGTGTATGCTGCTACTGCCTCCTTCAAGGAGGGAGCTCTGTATCTGTGACTTTGTGCTTGCAGTGCGGTGTGTCTGTGTAGGCACTGCAGTGCTTGGAAGTTTTGCTCTTGCTGTGTACTGGGCTAGGTGTCAATGTAGCGGTGCCAACCCTCCCTGCCCAGCGGTGTTCTCTCCTTGCACCAAGTCTCTTGGTGTGCTTGTCTGTTGCCTTGGATTTACCTAACTTGCAGGTCTTTTCTTCACCATCGGCCTGGCTGTTGAGCTCATTACTAAACTGGATCTTAATTTAGACTTCCTGGCTGTTTACCTTAATCAAGAGTGTTGTTCAGGTTAAAAGTTAAAATAACTAGGATTGTGATAACTTCTTCCTTTTTTAAAAATTCCTGGTATGATTTTGAGCCCTCTCAAACTCGAAGGTTGCTTGTGAGGTTCTTAGTCTTCCCATTCCGCTTTTCTTTCTTTCACTCTTCTAGAACTCACTTTGTAATCAATCCAAGAACTTGTTTTCTTTCTACCACTAATATCACTTAGCCCTATATTTTTTTTGTTAGTTGCATTTCATACATCTTGATTATGATGAAAGTAACTTTATTTTTCTTTCAACAGTGACATCGTGAGGAAGATTGATCAGTCTGAATTTGAAGGTTTCGAGTATATCAATCCTCTTTTGATGTCTGCAGAAGAGTGTGTGTGACCCTCACTTTCCAGCTGTGCATTCTGCTTACCGCCGTTTAGTGCATGGATTGGCCTGTTAGCCTGGCCATAGTTAGCATTTGTGTATTCACCTATGGAAATCTCTCTCAATACCCTGTTATAGACTCTAGGAATCATAGAGCTAAGTAAAGTATAGTAAATCATATAGCTAAGTAAAGCTAAGAAAAAGAAATTAAAACCAGCTTCCTGACAATCATGTCAAACTTAGTTATGCTCGCTCTCCAGAGGCCTGCTGATGAGTAAGGAAGTTGTCTTTTGTTTAAAGGAAATAGCACAGCTTTTCAAAAGAGGCCTCTGCTGCTGATACACCGGATGACATCATCAGTCTCCTGCAGTTGTTGTCAGTTTGTGTTACAGTTGAAGGCTTGATTGTGTAATGAAGGGTAATTTAGAATACATCTTGTATTACTAGTTTCCCAGTTCCTTGAGTTTAAGAGTCCTCCTATAAATTTTCTCATCACTTTGTATAATTATTAATATTTAAAGGAACAGTTATCAAATTGATATACAGTTGCCTTGTTTTATTAAGAATTGGTTTCTAAATTATTAGTTGTGCTTGAAAAACTGGCACAAGTGATTTATTTATTTTGAATTTTAACTTTTTTTTTTAAAGAAGGGCATAGCTTCTGAGCTTGCTTTTTTCAGTGAAAACTAGCATGCTAATCATACATGCAAATGGAAGACGCAGAATGCACGTGGATGGGTAGCTGCGCAGTACATAGAAAGGAAGAAAGTAGCTGTTTAAAGTAGCTGCAGAATGAAGTGGGAATATTTTACCCCTCTGGAGAATGAGTCCTGCAGCTGGTTTTAACATCTGCTGTAAATAACAAGGAGGTGCTCACTTCCAAACACAGAACAGCATTCCGTATATTTGGGGAGGCGGAGTGTATATATGTTTTTTATTAGCATATGGGGAAATAATTTATCTTCTAAGTAGAGAATCTTAACTACTTTTGATTCCTTCCTCAGAATACATTATCTGTACTTTTGAGACCTGTTTATGGAGTCTCGATGAAATTCAAGAACTATAATAATGAACACGAATAACTGTATGACATGTACTCACGTCAGTTTTGATGTCTTAGGTAACAAATATAATAGATAATGGAATGCATTTCAGGGGCAGAATTCTTCAGTTCTCTGCAATATTTTTTTAATATTAGTATTTAGTAATATTTTATTTAAAGAAGTACATTTTAACATCGTTCTGCTGTTTATTTTAAATATTTTTATATAAAGGACTTTAAAATGATCATCTAAATAAACTATAGTTGTCACATCAGTAAAATTTAATTTTAGGGATACTATAGAGTGTTGAGCTTATAATGATTTAAAACATGTAGGCATTTAAAAATATCTTTTTGAGGATGCTACATTTCATTAGAAGTGTACGTTTTCCCAAGTTTGTGTCATGCATTTTCTTTTCTTCAAATAACTTAATACTTCGAGCAATGAAAACCTCCATTGATTAAAGCCAAATAAGGGACCAGCGAGGTGGCTCAGCAGGTAAAAGCATGTGCTGGCTGGCCTGATGACCTCAGTTTGATGCCTGGAACCCACATGGTGGAAGGAAGGAGCCATCCTCCACGAGTTTGTATACCACGGCATGTGCACATGCCCCCCTCCCCCGCAGTAAATCAGTGTGAAATAAATGCAGCCAAATAAATGCAGTGAAATGCACATCAGAAGGCAAGTGTGTGCGTACATTTTTATGTTTGAGAAGTTTTCATGTTTCCCCTAGTCCTAGAACTTAGTTAAATCAGAAGGCAGTATTCACACCATAAGCTTGTAGAGAATTCTGAAGTCAGTATGTGTATGACCTTTTAAGCTGTGCTGTTTTCCTTGGGGCATTTTAGAATATAGAATAATCACTGAGCGTTTGTTTAAAGTGCACGTTAGGACTCTTTTGGGACTTTGTACTTCATTTTGAGACATGTTTTCTTCAAGTTATTCTAGTTATTCTTTTTCTTGTGGCCATATTTCTTATTGGAGCATGAGCCTGCTTTTTATGGTAAAACATTTTAAGAAGGGGTATTCAGTGAGTTATCATGCACAGTTGTCAGCAAACTTAGATGAATAAATTCAAGGTACATATCTTCTCCTCACCCCCAACAAAAACCTCTCTGTTTTCTGCCAATAATGTACAAATGATGAGCATTTTTCTATAATGTTTTAACCATTGTTAATGGTGGTTTTTGTTTTTAAATATTTTTTTAACTAATAAGATTTATTGTGTGTATTTTATACAGAATTATTACAAGTGTTTTTGATTGTGTTCTGTTTCTCGGCCCTTAAGTGCCATGCCAGCTCTTTGTATGTTATGTAAAAGTTCTCAGAGTACTCTGCAGGGAATAATGTGTGGATGGCAGAGTGAGTGGCATCTGTGTCTTAGGAGTTCCTCAGTGTGCACAAGCTTGTGCTCAGATCACAGGTAGCTAGACTGGATGTCTAGTTCTGTTGTGTCCTTGTTGTCCATACACTTACTTTAGAAATTTGTCTTTTCATTTTTGTCATGTAGAATACTGCCTTGTTCACTATAATGTAATCTGTATTTGTATAATTTTTTTTTTACATTAAAGTCTTTAAATAAAATGTTTAATACCTATGAGGAGTATGGACAATTTTAAACTTGTGCTACATTTTTAAGAAAAAGTTCCAGAACAAGACTATTTAATGTTTGTTTGGGAAATTCTGTAATTCATACAAGATTCTGGTACTGGTAATAGGTTCTAGTACATTCTAAACCTGTTCCTCAGTGGGTCTTTTCATGTGAAAAACAAGAAATCAGCTGAACATGGAACATTGTGCCCATTTTTCCTGTATTAGGCTCCATGCTGATTGGTTGTGTTCCAAAAAGCTGGAACTTTCTCTCTCTGGTAATAGCTGGTGTCCCATGAACACAGTCTTCCCCAGAACTCTCCTTTGTCCCTTGGGAATTTCATCTTCAGTGCCTGTACTGACAGAAAGCAGAGAACCGTGCATTGAAACGCCTTCCCGTGTCTACCCTGATTGCAGCCTTTGTTAGAATAGTTACAGGCGGTACCAGTGAGCTGCCATCCAGGTACTTCCCTGTATCACTTCATCAGTTTAGCTCTCTGAGCATTAGTGAGATTTCCAGTCAGTCCAAGAGGACCTTGGAGTTCTAAGGGGAATTTTACATAAAACATTGAGTCCCTGGACAGCCAGCTTCCCCCTGAAAGGTGAAACAGGTGTCCAGCCCTTGAAACATTGACAGCTTGTTTCTGAACAACTCCCAAGTGTGAGGCATGTGGTAGAGCTGGGATCTTCCCTAGACTTAACCTAGGAAAGAGGGTAATCTAAGTCCTGTGGAACCGGGTAGTCCCAGTAGGCATAGCCACGGATCTCCTGCGGTGTGCTGTGTGCCGTGTAACTAAGGCTAATGAAGCTGGACCTCCACCATTGGCAGTTGGACTAGAGAGACAGACTTCCAGCGTTCTGTTTCTAGCCCAGTGAAAAAGGCCAAGGAAATGCAGTCAATGCCCATGGTGTGGCCATGATTACCATCATGTGACCTATTGAAGCTGGTGAGTTTTTATTTCTAGATGATCCATGGCACACTCTCGGTCTCCACAGAGCTTCCCCGGGCTTTGGATGCCCACACAAACTCAGAACGTGGGTGCTCTCTCCCACACTAAGATTGGTTTTGCCTTTGCACTAAGAAATGGCAACTGGCTTTCCCCAGTGGGATGGGAGAGCAAGCTGCCACATGCTTCTGCTTGGGTCGGGATCTTTTTGCAGCTCAGAAGGAGAGATGTGGGTATATGAAGTGTGACAGAGGGGCATCCTCACCTGGCAACTCGGGTCCTGCTAACACCAGCATATATCTACTCCAATTGCAATGTGTAGTATTGGAGAAACTGAGTTTATACTTATCCTAGAGATGTTTGGTATGGTGTTTTCTACAGTATAGGAAATTAAAAACTACCAGATGCATCTACTGAACCTGAGAGTTTGCTAGCTCATTTACACACACCAGCTGATCAGTAGAAATGTGAGTGCAAGAAGGAGCCTATAGAAGGTTTTCATGTAGCAACATCCTTGAAAAAAATGGATGCCATGTTTTTTGTTTTCCCTGTGAAAAGAGAATAAAGTTGCCAATGAATAAATGGGCTAGTGAACTGACTAGGTAGTCTTTCAAAAAAGAAACAAATGCTATAACTATTTTAAGAAGTGTTCACTATCCCCTAGCTCTGAGGAAAATTGCAAATTAAAAACTACTTTTTTAATATACCACCTGAACCCAGTCAGAATGTCTGTCATGTCCGACAACAAATGTCAGAGAGGAAGTTGCGAGAAAGGAATCCTCATTCACTGTTGATGGGGATGCAAAGTGATAAAGCCATTATGAACATCAGTTTTGAGATTCCCGAAATAATTAAAAAGAATTACCGTAGGACCCCACTATTTCACTTCTGGGCATATACCAGCGAACACATGCTTAACTGCAGAGATAAGTGCACCCCCGTGTTTACTGCTGCTTTATTCACTGTAGCAAAGAATTGGAATCAACCTATTTGTCCATCAAGAGGCGAATGGATAATGAAAATTTGGGGTGGTGAATTCTGATCAGCTCTAAAGAAAAATGCAATAAGCCAGGGCTAGTAGCGCATGTCTTTAATCCCAGTGCTCTGAAAAACTAAAAAGGAAAAAAATGCAATCACAAAATTTATAGGAGAATGGATACACTAATTAGATCGAAATCTCAGAAAACAACTCCATCTTCTTTCTCATAGGTGGAATCCAGCCAGTATGACATAATATATATTTTTTTTAAATATAATGTTTAGCATTATAGAGTATAGCATGTAGAAAAGATGAGAGGCTAAATATTAGGGGTTGAAGGAGGTAATGAAGATGAGTATGTAAGGATATAAGTCTTGTTTTTCTAGTTCTTACTCTTTGGTTTTTCAAGATAGGGTTCCTCTGTGTAGCCTTGGGTACACTGTAGACCAGGCTGGCCTAGATCTCAGAGATCACCTGCCTCTGTTTCCCAAGTGCTGGGATTAAAAGTGTGCACCACCACCGCCCAGCTTCAAGTTCTTTCTCTTGTCATGGGTTGTTTTGTTTGTTTGTTTGTTTGTTTTTGGTGGTAGATAAGTGCTTAAAAACATACTTTTTAGTGAAACAAAATTCAACTTGAAGCACCACTGTTTCTGTTCCAAATGGCTATTCTAAATATAGAAGCTTATTTGAGTTGCATGGTCTGGGTCTGGTTAATTTGGGTTTGTAATATATTTTATTTACAGTGTTTTCTATAATATAGTTGTGGGGGGGGGGAGTTCTATGCTGGGTGGTGGTGGTGCACACCTTTAATCCCAAAAACCTGGGAGGCAGAGGCAGGTGGATCTCAGAGATCCACACAGCCAGATTTAAAACTTAACAAAAGCTGGGCATGGTGGCAAACAGCTGTAATCCCAGTGCTGGGGAGTTGGGGGTAAGAGGGTCAAGAGTTCAAGATCCTCCTTGGCTGTATTGAGGGTGCCGGGTCTATGATAGAAGACTTGTAAAACAAGTTGGGTGAAAAGTTCAGTAGTGCAGGCCCTTGCCAACAAGCCTGACAGTGGGTCAGTAAGTGGGTCCCAGGGGTCCACAAGATGGAAGTAGAGAAGACACTCCTGACCATTGTCCTTTGACCTCCATACAAGTGCTGGGCATCCTTGTCCCCTCCTGATAAATAGAAATGTAAAAATATTTTTGTAAGAACATTTTGCTTGCGAGTAGTTTTGTGACTTTATATTAACATTTAGGAATAAAATGTGTATCACAGAAATCAGACTTTGAAATACTGGGTGTGCTTGTAGGTACACGGCTGTCAGACAGCCTCAAGTGGTCCTCAGCTCCATCTTTTGTGTGTGTGTGTGTGTGTGTGTGTGTGTGTGTGTGTGTGTGTGTTTGTTTTTTGAGACAGAGTTTCTCTCTGTAGCCCTGACCTAGAACTCACTCTGTAGACCAGGCTGGCCTCCAGGTCACAACCATCTACCTGCTTCTGCCTCTGCCTTCCAAAATGCTGGCTTTAAAGGCCCAGCTCAGGTTTATCTTTTTGTTTGTTGGTTTTTGTTGTTATGCTAGAGTTTCTCCTTGGCCTACAGCTTGCCCGTGTGGGCTGGTCTAGCTGGCCAGTGGTCCCCATGGATTCTCCATCTCCCCGAGCTGGGATTACCAACACCACCTCGCCTGTATTTTTATGTGGTTCCGGGTGTCACACTCAGGAATTCCTGTTTATAGGCAATCACTTTGTGGCCATTTCCCCAGCTCCCTAACCTACTTGATTTACATTTTTATGGTTGTGCTGGGGGCTGAAACCCAGGACTTTGACATGTTAGACAAGCACTCTGAACTCAGAGGTGTATCCTAGCCTGAAGAAAATTTAAACTGTTTTGTTTCTCGTCGACTGGAGTTTTACTTAAAAGACATGTCAGTGTACAGAAGAATGTGTATTTGTGAGTAATTTGACTCAGTTTTACTGTTTTTGATTTTTTATTATATTGTTGAGGATTGGACCCTCAGCTCCATGGATGCTAGGCAAGCGCTGAACTAACTCACTGAAATTGGAGTCAGCCTTGAAGTTTTTCTAAACTTTCTTTATTTTAAGTTTAAAGTATAATGTGTGCATTCGTGGGGAGATTTTTAAATATATTTTTATTTGAGAATTTCATGCCTGTATACAACGTACTTTGATCACCCGCGCCCTGCACTCTCCATTCCAACTCTGCCTAGACCCCCTCCCCGCAGCAGGCACAGCTCCCGGCTGCCTTCTTCCCCCTTCACAACCCGCAGCCCAGCTCGTGCTGTCCGCAAGCCTGTGGAGCAGCGGGAGCACAGAGCAACCTCCCAGAAGCCACACCCCGACGAAACCCGGCCCCCTTTCCTCAGCTGACCACCAACAGCTCCTCAGCTCCGGATGGGACCTTGTGAGCGCCCCTCCCCCATTCAGTTTGGAATTTGATTGGCTTGGTCGTGTGCAAGTCTGAACAGGCAGATGACCACGACAGCGAATTCATGAGTACGATTGCCATGTCCTGTTCAAAAGAGCATTTCTCAGCTCTCCTCCGCATCCTCTGTCCACCGTCTAAGGTGTTTGCTCATCCTTGGGATAGGGTATTGACTTAAGATGTCCAATTTTTATGGCTAAGCACCCCAAAGTTGATTCTAGCACGCTGACTCTTGAGTTCACATTCACTGCTGCCGATTGCAAAAAAAAAAAAAAAAAAAAAAAGCTTCTCAGTCAAGGTGGAGAGCATAAATGTATGGAGAATTGCCTGCACGGTTGCACAGGGTTGAAAGGTGAAATCGCTCAGGTTTTTTAAACGATGAGAACTCTGAAAGGTGAAAACTACCTCTCCCCACTCCCTCAACCCCCAGCGCGCAGCCGCAGGGTTCCTGAGGTCCTGGTGGGGGCGGGGAGCAGTGGGGGGGGGGTAATCCTTACCTGGAAGTTTCCTCCTGTCTGGCATTCCTCTGTGGTCCTCCAAGTCTGGTTGGAGGCACCTAACAGGAGTTGGAAAAGTGCAATCTTAAGGAATTTATTATTATTATTATTATTATTATTATTATTATTATTATTATTAACAACTGTGTTGCAGA